CAGATTGTGAACCTCCACGACCACCACCTCGACTAGAGGGAGAACCACCTCTACCTGAATGAGAACCACCTCTACCATTCTGTGCACCACCCCTAGCAGGTGGTTGTGCAGCCCTGGAGGTCGAAGCCTGAGAACCCTGATGTAAGCCACCACGTCTGGTCCTAGGGCAGTCTCTCACAAAGTGTCCCATATCACCACACTCAAAACAGCCCCTACGAGACGCAGGCTGATGAGAGGAACCTGAATGACCAGAATGCCCTCCACGAACTACAGGTCTAGAAGATGAACCCTACGAAGTATGCACCGAGCTCGAAGAGTTATGCCCAGCGTAACCAGCTTCAGACGCTGGTATAGCAGCATGAATGGGTCTACTGGACTGAGGGTGATAACCTCTGCCCAAGTAACCCCGACTCCTAGACGGAGCACCACCATAATCACCTGAATAACGAGTCATCTTGCCCTCTCGCTGCTCAAATCCCTCACGCCGAATCATTTCCAACTCCTTAGCAGCATCTATCACTTTCTGGAAGGGAACACCGGAAGCAGCAACTTGAGAAACTCCTAGACGAATTGGAATAATCAACCCCTTAACAAACCTCCTCACTCTCAGCCTCTGTGGGAAGTATCATCGAAGCATGCCTAGCCAAAGCATGAAATTTTCCCTCATACTCTGCAACTGACATACCATTTTGCTGCAAACCCTCAAACTCGGCCCTCTTGCGCTCCCTCTCACTGCGTGAAACAAATTTGGATAGAAATACCTGAGTAAACTGAGTCCAGGATAGTGGATGGGATCCAGTTGGCCTACTACTAATATAATCACTCCACCACTGCTTAGCAGAGCCATTCATCTGAAACGCTGTGTAGTCAACTCCATGAGACTCCACTAATCCAAGATTATGCAACCTCTCATGACAACTAACTATGAATTCATATGCATCCTCAGCTAAGTCACCAGTATAAGTAGGAGGATTCATTAATCTGAACCTCCCAAACATCTTTTGCTCATCAATAGTCATAGAAGGCCTGTTCACCAAATGTGATGTCATATCTGGAAACTCCATACTATCCAAACGAGGAGCTATAGCGGCAGCTGGCTGAGTCCTAGGAGTCTGAGAATCTGGAGAAACTATCGAATTTGGAGTTTGACCCCCAACACGGGTCTGTGAGCCATCAGAAGTGACAGGCAAAGCTCCTGCCTGGGCCATCCCCTCGACACGATCTTGCACATCCCCATGACAACCTCTGCATCAGGAGGTACGGTCCTACCACGACCCTGAGTAGCTACTGGTACTTGACCATCCACAGGTGCTGCAATACGGCCCCTACCCCGACCTCGAGCTCGTCTCCTACCTCTACCTCGGACAGTGTTCCCAGAAGCATGCGCATGAATAGGATCCTGACCACCATTTACCGATGTACGATTCCTCGCCATCTGAGAGAGAATGAGATATCAAGATTATAATTTCTACAAGGTCAAGTGTGCATGATAAGGAATAAAAGAACAGAATATTTCCTAAATGTCCTATAGCCTCTCGAAGATAGGTATGGACGTCTTCATACAAATCCACAAGACTCTACTAGACATTGCTCTTGTACTCTTGAGACCGATGAACCTAGGGCTCTGATACCAAATTTGTCACGACCCAAAATCACGAGTCGTGATGGCACCTATATTCCTAACTAATAGGTAAGCCAACCAACATATTTTAACAAACTTAACTAGTTAATAAGTGAAAAGACAACAAATTTCCAAATCTCCAACACTGAGTTCTTTATAAGTACGAATGCGGAAAACTGAAAAAATACTACCCAAGAATTGGTGTCATAAGTACAAGAGCTTCTAGAATACGATGCAAGTCTGAAACTAAAATGACAGATCTAACTTGAGGGATATCATGTCTAAATACTGAATAATAGAATACGTAAAGACAGAGGGAGGCGTGGGCCACGGAATAGCCAAGCAGCTCACCACAACTCCAAGAACTTCAAGCCGGACTCAATTTGCTCCACGAGATGTGCTCCTACTCGGAATCAAATCTGCACCACAAGGAGTGCAACAAGCGTAGTATGAGTACGAAACCACGTGTATCCAGTATGTCTCATTGACCGACAACGAAGAAGTAGTGACGGGAGTTTATACAAAAAAAATAGATTTGTAAATTTTATAAGTATATATATATATATATATTACACTCACTATTTAGGTTCCATCAATAAAGGTAATCAAACATCAAGTATTTTTCAAACACCAAACAAACACATAATCATCAAAATAAATGATGTGATGAAATGCAATGCAATATAACACTATGTAACGAATTGTCTCAGAATACCCAGTAAACACTCAACCGTATATACATGATACTCTTCGGAAATACATCGAGAGTTCATGACCCATGGGGGACTCGCGAGATCCATATACCGACACGGACGATCTCCACGTGTCTGTACGGACAATCTCAACGCACTATCATAATATCAAACAATTTCCGCACGGACGGTTTCCACGTGCCCAAATTACAATCTTAACATCTCACCATCCCCAGCACGGACGATCTCCACGTGCCCAACTTATACTCAATCTCATGTCAATGCATGTATACAATATCATTTCAATATAAGGAGATAATGATGCATCTCACTCAATCAATATCAACATAATACATAACCACCTCAATTATCACAACTATACGGGTGTAATAAAGAAAACACAATCACACAAAAATTTCAAGTCAATAATATATCAGGTAATGCCCATATGCTTTGGCATTCTCAAATAAAAAATCCACATTCTATAGTAGAAATTTTCCTTTTTATAACACCGGTACTCGTACCAATGCCCGTCACACCATTGATACGAGACCCCATCTTTCGCCCTTACTCCTTTGTCTATTTTCATTTTTAATCTTTAATTAGGAAAACGTCCTTCAACAAGTCTAAAAGTCTTAACATACCTCAGATGCCGAACTTGTGCCACGAATCTTTTAAGATTTTTCCTTTCCTTTTCGCAAGGTTTCAGAACGTTCCCAATCTACCAATTTTGCAATATCTGTAAGTAAGCAATTTTTTTTGTAGACATTCAAATTATTATATGTCTATCATAGACACTAAAACTCACTCATATTTTCAACCAAACTCCAAATTTTGATACATATTGGTATGCTAAATTTTTCATACTTGCTAAATTTCAAGCCAAGAACTTAACTCTAACCTCTTCAAATGGACTAAAATTCAATGTTAGATCATATAAAATAACACCTAATAATTAATTACCAATCCCAATATATATTAAAAACTAGCATTTTAATATATGAATAAAACATGAACCAACTTTCCACCCACTGGCAGAAGTGGAATGCCCCTCCCCCCTTTTCACGTTTTTTTTTTCCTTCGTTGGCACTGCCAATTCAAGCATCCCCCATGCCAATTCAAGCATCCCCCATGCCAATCATTGGCATATGACTGCCCAATGATTGGCATCCACTTTCATCACTACTACATAATTCAACCATAAAACATAAATAAAGAAAGCTTTCACCATTAAATTTCCAATTAAAAAAAATCTATTATCATTATATACATTATTATTTTTTTTTTTTGCAGAAACCCATTTGTAAATAAGTGCCAATTTTCTAAAATATTTATCAAATTCCAATCATTGGCAATCATTGACAAAATCCCAGAAAACAATAACCTGCAACAATTTAACTATTCGAATTCAATCGATTTTTTTATGTATATATTTTTTTGAATACTAACCCAATTGCTAACAATATAATATAATTTAGTAATCATCACCAACTTACCCATTATTTCTTATCACCCATTATCAATATAACATAAAATAATAACACAATCCCAAGCACTCCGACAATATATTACTATATATTGAATTGAAAAGAATGAATATCTCATATCTTTACCTGAACAAAGGCTACGATTTTTCTCCCTCTCGCTGGTCGCCTGTGGTAAGGTTTCGCCTCCCCACTTTTCGTTTTCCTTTTCTTCTAAATAAGAAATCATTAACCGTGAAACTCCACTAACCTATTATCTAATTATTTTTTTAATAAAGGTTTCATCAATTGGGTACTCATAGTTATCTAATAGTTTAAAAATACTCCTTTAAAATTTCAAAAGGAGTCAAACTAGTCCTAGTTTTCAAAACGACCTAGCGGATCGTTACAGTTGTTTACATGTGAATATTGTATTAATTAATAATAAATGTATAATACTATAAAAAAAAGTAGTGTGAATGTTATATTATTAGTACAAATATTTGAAAAAATAAACGTAAAATTTGTAAAATGAAAATTGTAGTTAAAAAGAACATGATAATCCACAATTATACACTAAAAATTAAAGAACAAAATTAAGTATAGTGAGCAAAATTTTGGCATTGATATTAAAATTTCAAATTATGTTGGTAAGAGAACACATCTAAACAATAAGTTAATGGAAAGACAAACCACATTGTAAATGAGCACAATACAACACAACTACTTTTTAAAATTAATAATAACAAAAAGGATTATGGTCAAGTCCAAAATAACAATGATCTAAAGTTACAATGAAAAAAAAATGAAGTGATCTACCAAAATGTTTTACGTTATACGTATTCCTATATATAAATTAATATACTTACCTCAAATTTTACTCTTTCATCCAGTTTGACTTTTGTAAATAATAGTATCACATAAATAATACTAATAAAAAAATAACATTTATTTTTAAGAACAATTGAAAAATAAAAAACCATTTAATATATATAAAAAATAGCATGTACTATTTCACTACCTTTTTCGTACTATCCATCCCTGAGTTCTCTATATAGAAAATTAGTTAGTGTTTGAATGTAGTTATCTTTAAATTTTAATATTATCTTCGTTTTAGCTTCAAAGATTAAGAAGGATTCTATCATTGACCCTCATCCAAACATGCTTAACAAAGTAATATTTTTTAATTATGGGTATAAAGTATATTATATTAATCGCTAATTAATATGCATCAATACATAGTAGAGTGACAAACCTTGCTTGTCCACCCTCCAATACCCCCCTCAAGTTGGAGGGTAAAGAAATGACCCCCAACTTGTTCAACAAATGGGGATTGGGAACCCCAGACAGTGGTTTGGTAAACAAATCAGCCAGTTGATGCTTCGATAGAACCAAGGGAAATGTAATTAGACCAGCGACAGCAGTTGTCTCACAAAGTGACAATCCACCTTAACATGTTTCGTCCTTTCGTGAAAGACTGGATTTTTGGCTATGCTAATGGCAGCTTTACTATCGGAGTTCACTGTGATAGGGAGGAATGGAGGAACAGAGAGATCAGCAAGGACACGTACCAACCAATTCAGCAGTCACATGGTGCATAGAACGATACTCTGCTTCAGCGGATTAAAGGGAGATGGAAGCTTGTTTCTTGGATTTCCAAGAAATGGGAGCACCACCAAAAGTGATGAAGCAACCACTGACAGATCTTCGAGTTTTACGACAAGAGGCCCAATCGGCGTCGTAGAAAGCTAATAGAGTAAAGGTGGGATATGAGGAGAGAAAAATTCCTTGACTTCGATCATTTCGTAGGTATCTCAAGACTCGAAGCGCAGCAAGATAATCTGATTCAGAGGGATGTTGCATATGTTGACTGAATGTCAATACAACAAAAGACAAATCAGGCCTAGTGTGTATTAAATAGTTGAGCTTCCCAACTAAATGTCGATAAAGTGTTGGATTAGCCATGGAGGGACTGTCATCGACATGAATTTTGGAATATAGATCAAGCGGTGAAGATACAGCAGCACTAGAACAATCAAATTCAGCAAGTAACTCCAAGGTAAACTTGCGTTGATTGATGATGAATCCCTGTTTTTCTCGGAGGATTTCCAATCCTAAAAAATAGTGAATGTCTTCGAGATGCTTGACTCTGAATTCTGTATGAAGAAACTGCATGATGTGATTAATTTCTGAGATATCCTCTCCTGTAATTAGGATGTCATCAATATATACAACGATGATAGAGTGAGAGAACCAGATGTCTCAAAGAATAGTGGGTAGTCGTTCATAGAACTAGTATACCCTTTGAAAGCAAGAGCTCCAGCTAACTTAGAATACCATTGTCTAGATGCCTGTCGCAACCCATATAAAGACTTTCTGAGAAGACAAACGTCGTTGGGCATGATGGAGGGTAGACCTGCATGACACTTCATGTATACTTCTTCCTATAATTCACCATGAAGAAACGCATTGCTAACATCCAATTGATGCACCTGCCATGCTTTCTTGATAGCCACCGTGAGTAGACACCTGATAGCTGTCATTTTAATTACCGGAGAGAATGTTTCTGAAAATCAACACCTTCATGTTGAACACCCACCCTCTCTACCAATCGAGCTATCAATCTCTCAACAGACCAATCTGACCAGTGTTTTACCTTGTAAACCCATTTACAAGGCAAAGTTGTCTTTCCTGGTGGTAATTTTAGGATGTCCCAAGTGTGATTCAATGCAAGAGCCTTTAATTCAGCATCCATTGTTGCTTTCCAGCCAGTATGTTTAGAAGCATGTGCATATTTCTTTGGCTCAACTACATCGGAAATAGAATGAAACATATGCTGATTCGAAAGAGATAAAGAGTTAAAGAGAAAGTAGTGGGCTGGTTAGGGTGGACAAAACATGCATTGGTAACATCAGTCAGTTGGATGTTATTTCAACAATAATCTTCTAGATAACTAGGTTTATGTCGCATTCTTTGAGTTCTCCCTTGATTGATGTGGGGAGAAGATGAAGAAGAGAGGGAAGAAAGGGTTGGACTGCTGACATTGGGAATGATAGGAGAGGATGTCTCAGTATCTGGGGATGTAATATCAGGATGTGCATGAGCTTGTGGAGAGGATGTAGGATAAGAGACAGATTCTGGGATATCCATAGTAGAATTATGAGATGGAAAAATGGGAGGAAGAGAGTGATAAGATTTATCAAAGGCAAAAGGAAATTGCTGCTCATGAAAGTGAACATCCCTTGAAACAAAAACTTTCTTAGTGTTGAGCTCTAACAACTTGTAACCCTTTTTACCTTGTGGATAACCTAGGAAGACACAAGTTGTTGCCCTTGGTTCAAACTTTCCTCTCTATTGAGATTGAGTTGAAGCATAACATAGACATCCAAAGCTCCTCGAAAATTGATAGATAGGTTGCTTATCAAAAAGAATTTCATATGGTGTTCTTCCATGTAGTACCTTGGATGACAACCTATTAATCAAATATGTAGATGTTAATATGCAATCTCACCAATAATCAATAGGTAAGTGAGATTGAAACATCAGTCCTCTTCCTAATTCCAATAGATGTCTATGCTTCCTTTTCACAACACCTTTTGTTGTGGAGTTCCAACACATGAAGTTTGATGCAAAATTCCTTGAGATTTAAGAAAAGCGGTCTTCTGAATACTTGTTCCCAATTGCAGTGCATTGTCAGATCTAATGCACTTGACTTGGGCATGGAATTGTCTCTCTATCATAGCTAGAAACTCCTTATGAGTAGGGAAAACATTGCTATTAGAGATTAACAAGAAAGTCCAAGTACCTCTACTATAATCATCAACTATGGTAAGAAAGTATCTAAAACCATTATAAGTAGGTGGTTTGTACGGTCCCCAAGTATCAATGTGAATCAATTCAAAAGGCTTTGTATAATGAATAACACTTATTGGAAAAGTGAGTCTAGTTTGCCTAGCTTTAGGACAAATATCACAAACATGTTCAGATTTAGAAGGGAAATCAATGAAACTGAATTTTCTCATTGCAGAAAAGGACAGATGCCCTAACCTTACATGCCAAAAATCAACAGAGGGATTACATTTGCAGAAAAAGGAAAGAACTAGGAATGGAACTACTTCCTTGTAGAATCGAAACTACATTAGTATTAGAAACAAACTGATAGCTAATAGTAGAAGACTTCAACAGGTACAATCCCTCATTTACTTCACCAAAAGCTTTAATGCTCCTCGTTAAAGGAACCTGTAACACACAACCACTAAGAGTAAGTAACACATTATATTTAATTTTACTTGACAACCTATGCACAGATATCAGATTATACTTGAAGGCAGGGACATACATGACATTTTTCAGAGTCAAATTTGGAAGAATAGAAGGCAGGGACATACATGACATTTTTCAGAGTCAAATTTGGAAGAATAGAGACACTTCCTGTATGAGTCACAGTGATCCTGAAAGAATTAGGCAAAGTCAGAGCTAAAGACACAGGAAGGGGAGTGAGCAACAGAAAAGAATTGGAGTAAAAACAGATATGTTTAGAAGCACTAAAATAAATAATCTATGTACAGGAATTAATAACTGATAAACATGAGCTTGAGTTCCTCAATAGTACTAGCTATGGCATTTCCACTAAAACTAGTCGTTGGTGTTGCCCTATGTTCCTTCAGGACATCTTTTGTAACCTGTTGCACCAGATTTGTGTATATTCTTTGCTCATGTACTGGCTGTAATTGTTGTAGGCTGTATCCTCTTGTGTGTTTTGATATGCTTTAGATTTTTCTTCTGTTGCAACTGTATTTGCCTTCACTGTTCCTTGATTTTCCCTTGTCTTAGTGAACTCAAAATCATTGGGGTATCCAATGAACCTGTAGCAGTTATCATGTACATATTCTGTTTTTCCAGAGTATGTAACATTAGGATTGTACTTAAACTTCCTTGACCTGAATCTTTGGACTGGTTTTCCATTCCTTTGTTCCCCATTATCATACTTCTGTGATTGAGCATTTCCTCTCATCATTTGGTTATCATTTCTGTGATTCCACTTGCCTTGTGTTGTTGCCATAAAAGCTGCTGAGTTGGTTAAGGGGTCTGCATTAACATAAAACTCTCGTTGGTTCTCATCTTGCAACAAAAGAGAGTACACAACATCAATGCTCGGCAAAGGGCTCATCATCAGGATGTTCTCTCTTGCCTGAGCGTAGATGTCATTCAACACCATCAGAAACTGCATTAATTTCTGATGTTACAGTGATTTAACCAGCTTTCCCTTACCCTCACATACACAGACATAAGAACAAGATATAATGACACTAAGGGAATCCAATTCATCCCACAACCTCTTATGTTTAGTAAAGTAATTTGCTATATCACCCATACCTTATACAAAGCTTGATACCTCTTTTTGCAGTTGATACATCTTTGCTTCGTTGCATCTTTCGAATCTTCTTTCCAGGCTATCCCAGGTCTCCTTGGCAGTCTTGGATTAGATTACGCTGTCTCCAATTTCCCGGAAAGTGAATTCAACCATGAGATCACCAATATCGTTGCAACAAATCCATTGGCCATACTCTACAGTATCGAGACCTGGAGCTTTGCATCCTTCATTGATGAAGCCAAGCTTTTTTTTGGCTGAGAGTGCTATCAACACTGCCCTACTCCATCCTGGAAATCCCTTCCCGTCAAAGGTAGAGCTGATGATATTCATTCCTGGCGAATCCGAAGAGTGCAGATGATAGGGATGATTGATGTCGATCGTGTTGGTCTTTGAAACACTGGACGTGTTCAACACCTGAGTTACAACCTCTTCTTAATCCATTTTGTATTACAGATCAAAATGAACGATGTAAATCTGTGAGAAATAGATTAGATTGAGCTACTGCTCTGATACAATGAAAGAATGAAAAGAAAACGTTTGGGAATTTTCTATAATTTCATTCATCTCCAAGCCTGCATATATACAAGTTTTACACAGAATAAAACTAATAAAAAAAGAAACTCAATATCCACATGTCCTTTCTTTATTTGCCTACTCTATAACTAATCTAACAAACTTATATTCTTCAGTGTGCTAATCACGTGAGCAAAGTATTCTAGAATGGCATGAGTATGTATAGGTGTCACTAAATCAGATGGACAAAATTCAATCCTTCTCATTTGTGATGAAGAGTCCAGATTGCTCTGCCTCTTGTTTCTCTTTGACTTTCTTCTTTACAGCTCTTCTTTCCGATTTCTTCTTCTGCTTATTGCAGTATGGAATCGATGCCATGGAGGTGACTGGTTTTACGCCAATAATAAATTGGAGGTCCTAATCGGGCTTCTTTTATTTCTGATTGAAAAACCTAAATATTTCCCAAAGTCTTTATCGGATGTATACTTTGCTGATTTTTGGTTTCCTTTAATGCATTTGAACATATTTCTTTTTCTAGAGAAAGTATTTCCAAAGATATTTTTATTCCATTCAAAAAAAAAAATTGTACTATGAATGTTAGATGTCCCAGAGAATATTATTATTTTCCTTCCAAGCTTTTGAAATGACATGGGTTATTTGCGGATGGTACGTCCACATGGTTTCAAATTTAAAGATTTTAGATCAGTTGAGGGTTGACTTTTGTACTAAAGGGGCGGGGTAGGTCAAATCACCTGTATCCCCCTCTCCACATTGAAGGGTTTCCCATTCATCAAAGTTAGATTCGTCACAACTATGTAACTCCTATTTAAAAGTTACAAAAAAATCTTACATCAAATTGTGATTTTGGATAGATCGTTGGGACAATTAAAGATGTGTTCTTGACGCATTTCTCTTTGAATATCATGACCCTGAAGTCCTCTTAAACTTCCATCATATATGTCCTCTTCTTCCTTAGTAGAACTACGACAACTTTTATTTCTTCTAGATTTATATTTTTTTTCTTAGATTGGGACTACCCAGGTGGAGGGGATAGTCGTATTTGAGTCATTACCTAGGAGGTTCACCCTATGTTATTAGGTAATGTTGGTCTGATCCTTGTTTTGGTAGCTTGCATGTTCACTTGGTATGGGTGTAGGGTGCAGTATCGCCTCTTGAAGTTGTTGTTGGAAAGAGAGGGTGGGAAAAGCGATGCGTATGGTGTTGAGTGCGATGTGGGGATGGAGTTGCATAGAACGGGTTGTCCCTTAAGTCAACATGATGACGGGAAAGAGAGTGGCTGCTTTGGGTGTTAAATTTTTAAGGCTTGGGCTCTACTTTTTAACTCAATGCATATTACTTTTAGCGCATGAATTCTACTCTCGATACTGCTCATAACATTGAATACATGCATTGTTAACCTTTGTTTACTTTAGGGAACATGACTCCAAGTGTTAATTCATATCACAATTTAATCATGGTTAATAACAGTGATATATGAAGATTGAGTGAATAAAGCAAATTGAGTTTTATCAAAAAAATTCAATTAAAATGGGTAAATTGTTAGAGTTTTGCTCTTATTTTTCTTACCATATTCGAATTTTACTTTTCCCCCGAAGGAAAGTCAAAGCATTACCATAATTGTTTTTAATTTTTTTTAAAAAATATAGTTCTCTTCCATATTTGGTTATACTTTCTTTAGAGGAAAAATTTCGAACTCTATAAATAGAATTCTCGATCATAAGGAAAAAAACACAATAGATCCACAATGTAGTCATTAAAAGAGTTTGTTTATGGAGAAATTCTCTCTATACAATTTTTATGTATTTTTAAATATGTAGGCTAATTGGACAAACCATATAATAATATTATATTTCGTTTAATATAATTTTATGAGGCGTCTAATTTTTTGCCGAGATGAGTCTCAAAGGGTTTTGAGAGTGAGTCAAACCATTGAGTTAATTTCTAATTGAAATAATATGGAATAAAAGTTGACGACGGTCAACAGGAATCAAAACGTCAAAATGATCAAACTAAATTTTTCCTATTCTTGTGCAGCTCTATTTGGTCATCACAACAAGCAATATTTTCAGCAGAGGTTCAAATAATAAGAAGTAAAGACATGAAAAAGTCAGAGAAAGAGAAAGTTGATTATCTACTTATTACTATATACATATATTTTCACCTTGCATAATTAAATATTGTAAGTTATTTTTGCTGAAACAAATTAGGATAAATCCATTAACCCTACCTAGCTCCAATCACGATTGCATGGCTAAGAGTTACTCTATCTCTCTCTCTTAGAAATGAAAATCCCGAAATTCTTCATTCTTTTTCTCTATTATTGATTAAGCAAATTTTGGCACCAACTTGAATTGAGTACTGTTACTCTTTGAAACTTGTCTGTACAATCACATGGAAACTTCTTCTCACAAATTTCTTTTTACTTTTTTTCCTTGACTCATTTAAAAAAGATAACGTTTGACGAAAAAGTGACACTACTTTTTATTTTGGCATTTTGGTTTCTTTTTCTTTAGAATCATAACCGTCAAGAAAGGACGAGTAGTGTGAATCAATCGTAAGGATTGTGATGGTATAAGAATCTCTCTACACTATACCTGAACTAATCCCCTAGGAAGCTCTGTTCTTCTTATATGAATTTACGTGGAATAATCTCACATTAATCAAGATCTACATACCAACATCAAATGCTCATAGGAAATAAAATAAAAAATGTTTGAAATAAAAGTTTACTTGTAGGAATAATTCATTTATTACTGGCCCAAAGTCGTGTTTGTGTTGTTAAATTTAAATGATAGGTCCAATATGATACTTGTCTACTTCGTTGTTATTAAACAATTAGTTCATGTTCTAAATATTTAATTTCAAAAGATCTAGTACTTTTGGTAGTATGAATTACAAAATAAAATGTACATTCAAGTGTATATATATATATATTTGTTGATACTTATGTTATACTAAATTATTTAGAAATGTTTTTTTAAACGTCCAATAATAGACCTTTTATTACTAAGATCACTTACAAGAGAGAGGGGGACATATTGCTTAAACCTCATCCCAAATAACACTAAAAAAAGGAAGTTTACTCAATGAAAGTAAAGAATCTCATATGAGAGTTTCCTGAAAGGAAGGCATTTTCTATCAATAAAATAGAATAAGCCTTCCATTACTATCATTCAAGGTGGTTCGTAGTGCCATCCCGAGTGTTTTCTTTTTTAAACCTAAATGAAGCAAGATTGAGTGTGTCCATTCTCATTGGTCTTACATTTGAGTCAGGCATGTCTTCTTCCTTTGAGAATATATAATCCATGTCCCTTGTAGTGGCATGTCTTGCAAGAGCGTCAACTACACAATTTGCCTCCCTGAAGCAATGGATGATCTCGCTATTCATATTTTGTATCTTCTTTTGGATTTTTCTCACTGTTTTCCTTAGAGTCCAAGTCACTGGAGTTAATCCCTTGATCATATTCACTGCTATTTTGACTATCCATCTAAAAAATTATGCAAGAATTTGAGTTGTCCTGGCACCATTCAGTTCCACGTAAAGTTGCCTGCAATTTGCAAGAGTTGTTAGTAGAAAATTGGGTATATTTAGCAAAAGCCATGACCATGTTTCCATTTTTTCCCTAACGATTCCTTCTATTCCAGCCAATCCTTTTCCAGGTATGAGACTACCATCTATATTCAATTTCCATATGTTTCTTTGAGGTTTTGTCCAATTTACTGTGATGCTAGTGATTCTTGGTTTATAATTTTCAACAATCAAGCATATATTGTTAAAATTCATATACAGAGGCTAGCACTATTCATCAATGGAGAACCATAACATAGAAAAGAGAATGAAAGATATATTTCAAAAGCATCAAAAGTATGTTTACAGTTAGGTAGTGAAGCTTATTTATACACTTCTAATCACGTATTCACTCATAATTGACTAACAAGAAGTCTAACTAATTCACTATACAATTACTTAAATACCCCTAACAGTTTTACATTCAAGTAATTCCATTAGATTAATTACTCCTCCTCAATCTGGTGGGTATAAAAACATTCAACACACCAAGATTGCCTACCAAATATTCATGTTGCTGTCTAGGAAGACCTTTAGTTAATATATATGCGAGTTGATCCTTAGAGTTCACATATTCTGTCTTTATTAACCCTTATTGTATCTTTTGTCTGAATGTTTTGTTCTCTCATGAAACACAGGATTGACTGCTATTTTCAACGCTACTTTGCTATCACTAAATATCATCACTGGTTCATTGTCTTCATTTTCCAATTCCTTTAGCTATGTTGTGATCCATACCACTTCTGATATTACATTGGCCATACTTCTATATTTAGCTTCTGCTCAACTCCTGGAAACCTTTTGCTTCTTTGATTTCCATGATATTAAAGAACTTCCATGCTTCACCAAAAAACCTGAAACTGACTTTCTAGTATTGGGGGCATGATGCCCAATCTGCATCACATAACACACTCAATTTGTTTTCTCTAGTACTGCTTAATAATATAGCAAGACCTAGTTCTCTTTTAACATATTTCATCACTCTAATTGCTGCTTTCCAATGGGATCTCTTTGGTTGCTACAAGAACTGGCTAAGGGTCTGAATAGAGAAGTCAATATCCGGCCTTGTTAATGTTAAGTATAACATTTTCCCTATCAAACTTTAATATTGTTCCTTATTGTCAAGAAATTCATCATCCGAGTTTCCTGTAGTTCATCCAACTCATGTATTGTCAACTTTATATTCATCTGATGAGTTTCCTGTAGTTCATCCAACTCATGTATTGTCAACTTTATATTCATCTCTAGTGGTGTCCAAGATGGTTTTGTACTTCCTAATCCCAATTATGAAATAATCTCCAATGCGTACTTTCTTTGATTGATCAAAATACCTTTTCCAGATCTGCTGAACTCCATACCAAGAAAAATTTTAAGATCACTAATATCTTTAATCTTAAAAGCCTTGTGTAATGATGATTTTTTATGTTCAATGAGTGCCAAGATATTTCCTATT